GTGTGTGTGTGTGTGTGTGTGTGTGTGTGTGTGTGTGTGTGTGTGTGTGTGTGTGTGTGTGTGTGTGTGTGTGTGTGTGTGTAAGTTTGCGTATGTGTGTGTCTGTGTCCGTGTTTGGGGAGGAGGGAGGGGCATCCTCTGATTCATGAGTCGGCGGCTACGTCTCCAACATATAACAAAGATGACATCCTTGGAAATCCATCTGACCTCCGCCTGTCAGACACCTCCATGCCAACGGAGTCTGAGCTGCTTGAGAAGAGTGCACATATTCTGAATCACTTCCTTCTGAAGCTATTCAATATTCGCAGACATACCTCTCCAACTGATGCTGACATTGTGTGGAGAATTCCGTGGGTGGAATGCCTTTAGCCTTTTTTTTTCTCTTGGGTTGCACATTTCTTTTCTTTCTTTTTTTCTTCTTCCAGAAAAGGCGCCATCTACAACCGCCACTCCTGCGTCGAGCGGGCCGTCTGGGAACTGCAGTGACAAGGTTGACTACTGCTGGAATGAGCCGGATAGAAACTGCTTCGGCATCTACGAACCCTGGGCCAAAGATAACTGTCCATTCCGTTGCGGTTTCTGTCCAGGTGAGAATGTTCGCTCAGAAAGCCAAAGAATAATACAGAGGGCTCTCGAGGTCTTATTTTAGTTAGAGTATTACGGCACTTGAAACACGGTAGGTCATATAAGTGCCGAAGATTAGAGGTATTATAAGAGAGTAACAAACACAAAAAAGGAGGGCGGATAAAGATGATAGATGTTGAACTGGAAAGAAGGAGCAAATCATACCAGAGCATCCACCAACCACCCACTCTCGTGGTCTTTAGGCTACTGTGTTTGCCTCTCCTTCAGTAAGTCCCAGGTTCGAAACCTGAAAGCAGCGGAAAATTTTAAAATAAAATATTCTCTTTTCATATCCTTTCCTACTCTCTATCCTTGTTCTGTTGTCTGCTTTCGTCTCCATTTTCTGCCCCCCCCCCTTCACCTCCTTTCCCCCCCCTCTGGACTCTTGACTCTTTGTGCAGCCTTTCTACTGCTACTCCTTGACGCCTTCTTACTGCTGTCTTTCAGCCAAATCCCTGATTTAAGGATTGGTAAGATCTAACACCTATCCTTCTCGGATAAGAGTGAAAAAATCTCGGAGGTCCTGTGTGCAATATATCCTTTGGAGGTCCAAAAGCGATAAGAGTGGGGTTGGGCCGCCACTCGAGCAAGATTCAAAATTAATTCCTACCAAACTGAAAATGTTTAATGGGTCCCGGGCGCTCATATGACCTTTTACAGTTGCGAGCGCCGTAAAACACTTACAAAAAAAGCACGCATAACAATAATAAGGGTAAAAGTAAAGTGGAAAATAAACATACCCCCCCCCCTCCAAAACTACCTACTGTATAATCAGTTTACACCCATTATAACTGACTTGATCTTATGTTGGCAGATCCAGCGATACCCCAGGAGTTCATAGTGGGATTGGTGGTATGGAAGTTTTCTCATAAGAGATCCTACAACTTCTTTTCTTTTCCTCGGTTGCTTTTGTCTGTATGTATATATGTCTGTCTTACCTTTTCCGTGCACAAAAGGACAGTATGCTGATGTGCTTTATTTTGATTTGTTAAGGAATCAAATGAAAAAGCAGACAAGTTTCAAACAGAAATTCTATCCCTTTTTCTCTCTCCTTTCTGTCTCTCCTTTTATCTTTCTTTTCTCTCTCTCATTCTCCCGATTACCCCTGTATCCCCCTTCCTTTGTCTTCTGTTTCTTTCTTTCTTTCTTTCTTTCTTTTCTCCCCCCCCCCTCTCATTCCCCCTCTAATTCTCCTTCATGCTCCCTCACCCCGCTCTCTCTTTCTCGTTCTTTCTCTCTCTTCCTCTCAAATTCGCTCGGTGTCAGAGCCTGCGTGCTTATGTGCCTGTCTGTCTATTTGTCAGTAGGCCTTTGTGCCTGTATGTCTGCCTGGCCGTCTCTCTTTCTTTGTCCCTCCCTTCCCCCTTGCCCATCTCTCCCTTTGTCTCTTTCTTTCTCTCAAACAATTTTATGCACTCAGAGAGAGGGAAAGAGAGAGAAAGAGAGAGAGAGAGAGAGAGAGAGAGAGAGAGAGAGAGAGAGAGAGAGAGA